GCCGCCCGGGCTCCGCCCCCGCCGCGGGGCATCGGGCGAGATGGCGGCGCGCAGCCTGGGCAGCGGCATGGGGCGCCTGCTGGGCGGCCTGCTCGGGCGCTCGGGGCCGTCTGCATGGCCGCCGTGCGCGCTGACCGCGTCCCGCGCGGTTGCCACCCGGCTCCTGCGCAGCGTTCCCGCCACCGCACCGCCCGGCTCCTACCCGGCGTTGAGCGCTCAAGCTGCCCGAGAGCCGGCCGCCTTCTGGGGGCCAATGGCGCGTGACACGCTCATTTGGGACACCCCCTACCACACCGTCTGGGACTGCGACTTCAGTAAGGGCAAGATCGGCTGGTTCTTGGGAGGCCAGTTGAATGTGTCCGGTGAGTGGGCTGCAGGGCACCAACTCGGTTCTGTAGAGACTCTGGAGGCCCCAGTCAGCAGCAGCTGTCCCCGGGGGGCTTTGACCGCTCCGTCCAGTGTTCTTCATCACCCACTTGAATCCTTGTGTCACGTCACCCTGCCCTGCATCCCACCCGCCCCAGAGACTGTAGCCAGCGCAGCACCAGGTGCCCGTCTCAATCTGCAACTAGTTCAAGGCCGGTGGCCCAGAATACCCGGTTTGGTGGCCAGTAGTGTGTAGGTTGTCACCACCAGCTCCCTTGGGGACAAACCCTGGAGTGTAAACAGAACTGTGGTGGGTGCAGGAAGAAGAATGTTCCAGCAGCTGGGGGAGGGATTTTCTGGCCTGTGGGCGGGAAATTCTGGGTCCCAGAACTGCACCTCAAAGACACACTTCTGCAATGTCACAGGTGGGTAACCCCAGCATTCAGGAGGCTGAGGCAGGAGATTCAAGGTCAGCTTGGGCAATATAGCCAGACAATGCCTTTGCCCCACCCTCCAAAAAGACAAAAGTCCTGCTTAAAAGTCGTGCTTTACATCTAGCTCCACCAGTCACGATTTGTCTGATTTCAGCCGAGCCTGGATCCAGTACTGCTAAGGTTTAGGGGCACCGATATGAGCCACCCACTGAGGCACTGAGAAGCCCACTAGGGGAGAACTGCAGTAAGAATTGGACTTACAGACTGGACCTCTAGTGAAGCCACCTGGAGAGGTGGAGCCTTGCAGCCAGCAGGGCTCAAGGGGCTTCTGCCTTCCAGCAGGTTGGGGGTGAGGGGTTGAATAGATCTGGGGTGCCTAAGGAAGGAACTGAAGGTTGTTGAGGCAAAGCGGTGCTTTGTTCTAAAACCAAACTTGAAGGTAGAGTCTGGTGTCTGCATTTTACCTATCCCAGTTTTTCTACTTCTGTGAATCTCAGTCTTCCCATTTGTAAAATGGGATAGTAATGCTCACCTGTTAGGCTGGCCGTGAGAGCACAGTGCTGGGAGACATGGAACTCAGCACTTATTGGTGGGGTGTTCTGGGTTCCAGAACTGCAGCTCAAAGACGAACTTCTGCGGTGTGTCTGTGTTTTCAAGCACAGAATCTTAAACTTTGGACCAGCCTTTTTTTTTTTTTTCTTCCATATTGTATATTACTTGGCAAGTTTAATCTAAATGAGTCTTTAACTAGATAAGTTTTTTTTCTTTAGAATTGAGTCAGCAAGTTCTTGAACTCTGTGGAAGAATTCTTGCGTCTGCAGAACTGATGGAATGAGTCTTTAAAGCAAGTAAAACAATTTGTAGAAAAGAGGGCATAAAGTGTGCAACTCCTTTGGGAACCTCCCTGGGCTTAGAGGCCAAGGCCACTGGGACGGCCATGCTGGTTGTCTGCACATTTGCAGCTGATAAGGAGTGGGATGGATCAAGTGGTAAGCCAGGCTCGGGCGTGGTCAGTAAGGAATTCTTTGGCTTCATTTTCCTTCACCTCACAGCTGCTTGGGCTGGAGGCTGAGCTTCTTCAGCAAGCTGACCTTCGGTAAAGCAGCTTCCCTACAGCTTCTGCTGGGGAACCAGCATGCCTGGATGCTTATCCGTCAGCAGCATCCCTGTCCTTTGCCAGTGTCAGGGATCTCTAGACTAGTGCTTCTCAAAGCTTGGTCCTTGATCAGCAGCATTCTGTAGGTGCTTTTTAGAAATGCGAATTCTGGGGCCCACCCTAGATCCCCAGGTGTGTGTGTTCGGGAATCCAGCATCTGTGCTTAACCACCCTGGCCGTTGCTTAGTACAGCAGTCTGGTGGTTTCTGCTGTGCCTTTTGAGCTACAATCCCAAGGTTTCAGTCCTTCCTACGCTGTGCTTTCCATGTTTCTTTATCTGTGGAATAAAGACAGTAGTGTGTCCAGGAATTCTGTTGTAGTTACCATTGCTGCATGCCAAACTGCCCCCAAATTTAATAGTGCAGGACAGTAATCATTTTTTTTTACTGAGGTCCTGGGTCAGGACTCTGGACAGGGCCCAGTGGTTGGCTCTCTTCTCCTAGACATCTGGAGTGGGCGTCCTATCTGCTGGCTTCTTTCAAGCGTGGGGCCTCGGCTGGTGTTATGGTTAGTTTGCAGTTCATTGTGAGGTATTATAAGGGAGGTGACTAGGGTTACGCAAGGTCATCAGGCAGAGCCATCAGCCTGGAATCTGGTGACTTTATTAGAAGGAGAGGCCAGAAGAGATACAGACACATGGGATACCCCTCCCCCGACCCTGACTCATGCCATGCGATGCTCTGCCCCATCTCAGGATTTTCTCAGCAAAAACCTGTCACTAAATGTGGGCTCTAGATCTATGAGCTAAATAAATTGTTTTGTTTGTCAAGTTAGCATGCCTATGTTATTTCAACATAACTATATAGAATGGACTCATGGAATTTCAGGCTGAGCTCAGCTGAAACTTGTCCCCCAAATCACACCAGGCTTCCCACAGTGTAATGGCTAGGCTCATGGGAGGCCCTCTGTCAAGAGGGTCAAAAGACCAATGCAGAAATTCCTAGGTTTCTTCTGAGCTGCCTGTTCAATGTGGGGAGGGCGCTTGTTTGCACTTGTTTCTTTATCAAATGTGGCTCTCAGTGCACCCAGCCTGGGCTCTTGTTAGGATTAAATGAGATAAAGCTTGGAAAACTCTCAGCACTGTCTTTAGCACATTGCAGCCCCAACCACTGGCCAGTGTTAATTATTAATGAAATATTTGGGAAGCAGTGACCTTGAATTTGCCCTTCACAAGTGCTGCTGAGAACCATGTCCATCTGAACTGAACTCCATGAGTTAGAGCCCAATCAACCCAGGATGGGTGGGAAGCAAGAGTTGTAGGACACGCAGGTACCTGAAATGGCTGTCACCACATACTCTATCAACCCCAAGATGTGACAGCCCAGTGGGCAGTAATATTGGAGGTTCCTTGGCTGGGTGGGGAGGTACAGTTCTAGAACCTTCCTTGACTTGCCTGTAATGCCTTATGGAAAATACTTTGTACAAGAGTGTTTGGAAACTTTATATTGTAAAATGGATTCTTTTCTGCCTCAAACTTTCGGCTCTGTTCTCTGTAGGGCTCCACAGTTATTTTTGCTCTGTGGATATAAACTCAGGATGCGAGGAAGTTACAAATCCAGAACCAGAGAGTCATGGTTGTGTGCTGCTCATATCACATGTGTCTAATCTCTTTTTTTCCGAACTCCAAATGTTGATTCTGATGTAATGTAAGAATGTGTGCATTCTTACTGTAGCAAAAGTACAAATTATTTTTAGCCACCCATTGAACACTGGGAGGTTTCTTGGGTGCTTTTTGCTTTTTTGGCTGTGCTAAGAATGGAATCCAGGGCCTCAAAAAGGCTAGGCAGGTGCTCTGCTGCTGAGTGCCACCCCAGCCCTCTTCATGCTTTTTGGAATACTGCAAGATTGCAGGTGCTCTTTCCTCGATGGCAGTGATTCAGAAGGTTGATGCAGCTAGGATGGCAGAAAAGCTTGTCTAAGTTTTTAGGGAACACCAAATGAAAATGTAGGCCCAATCTCAAGAAGCAAGACTTCTAGAAGAATCTCTGAATTCCTCCTAGTTGTCAGAGGCATGGCTTACTTTAAATAGAAGATGCTTCTGGAAAGTTGGCAAATACAACTTTTGGGACTGACACAACATCTCAAAATGTGCCGGCGAGGTTTTCTATTTAAAGAAAACCATTGTGAATTCTTTGTGCATATCAGCTCCCTGGTTTCTTTTCATTAAGATCGAAACTGTGTGTTGAGTTCACTTCAGTTTGGCCTGTGTGAGTGGGATATATTTAAACAACCAACCAGAGCGCTTGTACTGGGGGGGTGTAGCTCGGTAGTAGAGCATTTATTTAGCATGTGGGAGGCCCTGGGTTCCATTCCTAGCCTTGGAAGTTTGGGGGGGCAGTTCTTGAAAATTCCTACATAAAGGAAGTGATAACATTCCTGCAATTATTTATTTTTTCATTAAAACTGAAAATCCATGACTAGCAGGCATTAGCTTAACTGCTCACAGGCTGTGTTAGGTCCTGGACTGGGCTGTGTTTTAGGGAATGCGATGGAGCCCATGGCTAGCTGGGACTCTGCGCTCAAGGACCAAATCCCATGCTTGTGATGTAAACACAGAGTGGTCAGTGTCCTGTTGTACAGATGGAGAAACAAGGGTCTGGCCTCAGAAACAGTGTCACAGCACCTGTGCTCCAGCGGATAGACCATAATTCCACTGCTGGAGGGCAGAATTACAATGATGTGGCTAACATTATCAGTAGGGTGATATTTTGCCCTGTAAAATGGATGAAGTTTTTGGGATGGACTGAGCAGAGGTGCTGGGTTTTGCAGACTAAGAAGGGCTGAAGAGAGCACAATAGAGATCAGAAAGCTGATTGGTTGGTCCCTTGCAAGGGATGGGGCAGGACAATAAGAAAACAGTGGGTGATTTACCCAGGCTCCTTTGGTTTTCCTTTTTCATTTGTTTTTGGTGTTTTTGAGACAGGGTCTCCCTGTAGCCCCAGCTGACTTGGAATTATGTAGACCAGGCTGGCCTCAAACTCACAGAGATCCATCTGCCTCTGCCTCCCAAGTGCTGGGATTAAAGGCATGCACCACCACGACCAGCTTGGCTTTCCTTTTCTGTGTGAGGGTACAGACAGGGCAACTTCACCACCAGGCGCACTGAAAGCCTGACTTTTTCCAGTCTCCAATCCTGATTTCTCTGAAGGTCTGACAAGTAGCCTTGTTTCAGCTTGGTGATAGGAACTTTAACACAAACAACTCCATTTTGATTTATGGTCTGGTCTGTGTTAGAGTTTAGACCAATACTATGGTCTATAATTTTTTAATTTAACAAATGAATATATCTGTACTGGGTCAGTTTGCTCAAGGTTTTCACAGCTGCTGGGGAAAAATTGTGGCTGTCCAAGAGTCCTTCTGGTAAAAGGACCCTGTGACCCAGGTGGTGGAGGAAGTAGCATGGTACCCAGAATGGGTACTCCTGGGCAGAATAAGGAAGTGTAATGTGTGTAGGCCAGCTGAGAAGTGGGAGGACAGACAGATCACTGTGTGCTAGGGATTTGGAAGGCTTAAAGTAGGAGGTGGGGTTTGAGCTAGGCCTTCAGTTGTGCTGGGCCCCAGCCCAATTCTTCTTGTAAATACTTGGAGGTGGAATTTTCTTGTCTCACTGCCTAGTTCTTTCGACTGAGTTGTTGTTGTTTTTTTTTTAATGTAGAGACTTTGTAAGTTTAAGGAGAGCCTCTTCCCTGTCTTCTTTCCCTTCTTTTCTTCCCTCCTCCCTTCCTTTCTCCCTCCTTCCCTCCTCCTCTCCCCTGTCCCTTCCTCTCTCCCTCCCTTTCTCCCCTTCTCCCTGTTCTCCTCCCTGCCCTACCTCTCCCTTCATTCTTTTCTTCCTTGTAACTGAGGCAGTAGAAGAAATTATAAATATGTGCTAAAAGCCACCACAAACATGGCATTTTAGGGTCACAGCTCTGTCAGGTTCTGCACTGTGGTGGCTGAAAGGAACAGGGTTATTCTGCTGGCATTTCCCTTGGAAACGTTGTGACACCCTCTGACCCCATCTTAGGACACTCTCAGAGAGCAACTAAGTCTTAGTCCCACCCAATGTCAGGGGTTACTATACCACCCTGTGGATTAGGAAGCTGAGACTAAGTAAATGACAAGGACATTGTCTGTGGTTAGTGAGTGCTGGGCAGTGGCCAGAGTTGAGGATTTTCAGGCAGCTCCAGGCTGCTGGCTAGTAAGGCATGACCAGGTGTCACACAGGGCAAGGACCTTTCTTTACTCTCCCCCGAAAGGAGAAAGAATGAAATCTCCAGGAATTTGAAATCCACATATAGATTGGGTGTACATGTAAACACAAAGGCTTCTGCTACTGTGTGATCCCAGGACCAGCCAGGCTGCAGCAAAACTGTGCTTAAAATGTACAAGCTAGGCCAGAGACTGGTTTGTCCGATGGGGCCTAGGCTCCTATAGGTTAACAAGCTCTTGGGAGACTCTGGTACCACTCAGGATGAGAGGTCTAAGTGAACAGATAAGTTTGTGTGCAATGAAAGAAGTGTAGCCCGAGATCTGCGCATGTACAGGACAAGGCAGCAGTGTCAGGTGGGAACAGACCACTGCAAAAGCCCTGGAACAGGGGCAGCTCTTTGGATGGGGCACGGCCAGCAGGGAGAGGAATGTCTTTGGGGACTTTGGTAGCCAGTGATCAAGCACCTTCTATGTGCAGGGGAAGCACCCCAGGGAACACTGAATTTGGGGATCTATTCTGTGCTGTCTGGATTTGTGACCTCGATTGACCCAGGAAAAGATGGGCACATGGCTAGTTGTGTTGGCCACCCAGGTATGCCCCGGTGCTTTCTACTTGTGGCAGGCTTTCCTCATTCCCTGTCCTAGCCTTGCCTTCTTGTTTGGCACAAAGCAGGTAAGATGCTTTGCTGGGCTATTAGGTGCTGAGGGTCTCAGTTCAAAGTCAGGCAGCCACTCTCTGGGGAAGCAGGATGCCCTGGGTGCCATGGAAGCAGACGATGTACTATGACAACCCTTTCCTACAATGGGGTCTGAGTCCTCCTGCAACTTCCTGACTGGGGCCTGAGGCAGGCCCACCAGGTCACCAGGACCCCTCTAAGGTTGCTTACTGTTGCATCTGATCAGGATACTCTTCATTGTGACAAAGGTCAGGGTGGGTGAGAGCAGGGCTTCTCCGGGGAAGTATGGCACACATTCCCTGGGACTTCTCCGCAGGTCTATGCAGGTGAAGGACTTGCATTTGTCACTAGTGCCCTGGTGGCCTGAGTAGCCCAGGCTTCTTACTTAACCAATTCTCTCCTGATTCTCCTTCAGACTTTCTGAAACAGGTGACTCTTCCCAGCTTGTCACAACCAGCTCAGGGTCACTTCCAGAACCAGGCAGCTGAGAACACAGCCCTGTGCCAAAGCGTAACCTCTTTGCTGACTTCTCAGAAGCCATAAATCTGTGATTTCTTAATTTTCACACACGCACACATACACACACGCGTGCACGCACGCATGCACACGCACGCACGCACAGATACACACATGTCAACCCGAGAAGCCCCACATGTATAAGTTACACTCAGCCTGGGAGCACACTCAGCTGACATTTGTGAAATTCTCTTGGTAGTGTTCTCCCTGCCAGCTTTGTTTCTCCACACACAGCAGGATGCGTGTGTTTGTCTCACCTGCCTGTACTGCCCCAGTGTTCTCCACAGTTCTAGGTCTCACCTCTCTGGGAGATCACACCCTTCACCTCTCTTCTTCCCTTTGCCATGGACAGGACTCAGATTTCTCCCACCTGCTGCACAGAGCAGATCTTTGCTGCCTATTTGGACCATTCTAGGGTAACAATGGAGGGCAGGGTGGTGTGAGGGATCCTGGAGCGAATTCTAGTCAAATCCAGATCCCCTACTGTGTGACCTTAAGCTAGCTGATTAACTTCTGTGCTGTTCACATCAGTGATGAGAGATATTGATAGGGAGCCCTTCAAGGACACTGCCCATATCCAGGCTCTGGCTGTCACTGTTTGCATCGTAGGTAGCTCTTAGCTTGTGCGATTGGGTTAGCCTTGTCTGGGCAGCTTCAGTCTCATTGTTCTGTTGGATAAAAGTTATGACACCTGCCACAGTTCACCTTGGAGGATTTCTTCCAAATACCTAGAGGCTACTGATGGGAATGTGGTTGGGTGGAAGGGGCACTGAGTTAACCACTCCAAGTTAAGCTCACCTTTGAAATCAAATGATCAATGAACAGGATGTCAGCAGAGCAACTGAGCCTACTAATCCTCAGGTTTACAGTAAACCGGCCAGCCCTCTGACCTTGTGTTTTTGCCAGCAAATCATGTGAGCTGAGTTTGGGTAACAGAGGGGGTGGGGAGCAGAGCTTTCTTGACAACAAGACTGGCAGGCCCAGTTTAGTGCCCATTACACAGGGAGTCTTGGGTGGTTGATGTCAACATGCAGCCAGGGTTAGGACCCTGGAATTATGTGGCTACTCAGAGTCTATGTGGAAGGTCACCTTGCAGATCATGTTTGTATGCTGATGATATCTGGTTTCACAGCTCTGGTAATCACTCTTCCTGCAAAGGAGGCAAGGTCCCTCTAGGCGAGAATAGCAAGCCACATCAAATTAAACTCCATTCCACCCTCCTTTCAAGCATCCAGAATAACATCTGTTAACTTTTCTTTGCACAGTCAACTGCCTGGATCAGCATGTGCAGAAGTCCCCTGAGACTGTTGCTTTGATCTGGGAGAGAGATGAACCTGGGACTGAAGTGAGGATCACCTACAGGTACTGTGTGTCACCTGGGGCTCTCAACATCCCAAAGGGGGCCTGGGCCTTTCTGCTGTTTGGGTTTGGAGTACGTACATGACTCCTGCTCTGTGATCATTAACATGAAGGAGCCCCCAGTCTGGAAGGACTCTGGTCCTGTGTTTATTTGGCGATCCTTGATGCCTGTAGATTCCTGTAGAATCCAGCAAGCACGCAGGGGAGACCCAATTCTACTGCTGTGTCTGGGTGAGGACACAGGGGTTGTCTGAGCACTGGGGGATGTTTCAGCCTTGGGGTTGTTCTCTTGTTTCAGGAAAAGGAGATGTGGACAAGGTAGGCTGTGGCATTTGTCCAACAGAACCATGAGACTGAACTTACCCAGATAAGACAAGGCAAATTCATCCATGGAAGCTAAGAGGGACCCAGGACAGAAATAGTAAGAGAGGGAGACTGGATGTGGACAGCTTCCTTGTGGGACTCACTACTACTGTCTCTAATCACTGATATGAACTGCACAGAGGTTAATCATCCTGCCCAAGGTCACACGCAGATCTGGATTTGACTTAGGGTTCTGCATACCATCCTACCCTCCTCTGCTGCAATGGTCCAATCAGGCAACAAATAGCTACTGTGTCATAAATTCATAAATGCCAGCTACTTGGCCTTTCTTGCTACCTTCTGTGATAGGGGGACAATAATGTAAATCTTTGAGTATTTGAGTAGTGTTTTTTTTTTTTTTTTTTTTTTTTTTTTTTTTTTTTTTTTTAAAAAAAAAAAAAAAAAAAAAAAAAAAAAGAGGACGATAAATCTTTCGCTATATAGACCAGGCTGGCCTGGAACTCACAGAAATCCTCCTGTCTCTGCCTCCCGAGTGCTAGGATTAAAATCATATGCCACCACACCCAGCTTTGAAAGAGTTTTTAAAAGCTTGATTTATTTGGTTTCATAAAGGGAATCTGAGCACTATGTGGGCACCAAGTGTCAAGTGTGTATGGGTTTAGATGAAGTAAGGTGCATCCAGAAAAGTATGGCCACAGACTGTGATGGGAATTTGCATGGACTCTCACGTAACTGACTACCTGTGGTTGCTGCCTCTGAATTTGCCTCACAAACTCTGTGGTCCACCAGAGAGGACACTGGTTCTTCAATTTCCTATTGGCAGAGGGTGGGTGTGACTCAATGAGGGAGTGATTGCCTCACAGGTATTCTGTCCCTAGTACTGAAAACATCATTTTGTCTAAAGGCCCAGTGATGTCTTAGGCCCACCATTTACCCCAGTCATGTGTTCTTTGTTCCTTAGTCTGTGTCCTCCCCTTGTCAGGTCTTCCAGTGTGATTATTCTCCTGGAGGTGGCTTCAGGCTTTCCATGTCCAATCAATCATCTAGCAAGTATTTGTTGAGTGCCTTTCTATTAGTCATGATTAGAGTGTGTTGCAATAACAAACAGAGAATGAATGACAGAGAGTTACTTCAAGCTAAATAGTGAGTGAAGTCTTCTCTGAGGATGTTTAAACTGAAGTTCAATTGGTAAGGGGAATACCATGTCCTGGGGGCAGAGAGACAGTAAATTAGTTGGGACTTGGGAATAAGGGGGACACAGGAAGAGTGTTCAAAGAGACAGTTCTAGCCCCAGGGTTCTGAGCGTGGCAATCACTCTTGGACCCTAAGGTGAGTTGGGGCCAACTGAGCACTCAATTCCCATTTGCTTCTGGAATTCTAGCTTTATCTGAGACCCAGATTAATCTTGGTACACCTGTTCTTAAGCTGCCTTTTGTAGAAAGCAAGGTGATGGTTAAAAGAAAGTATGTGTGTGTGTGTGTGTGTGTGTGTGTGTGTGTGTGTGTGTGTTTGTATGTGTCGGTGCCCATGGAGTTTCCAAAAGAAGGCTTGGATCCTCTGGAGTTACAGGTAGTTGTGGGTTTCCCAATGTGGGTTCTGGGAACTGAACTCAGATCTTTTGCAAGAGCAGTACACCTTCTTAACTTCTGAGCCATCTCTTCAGCCCTGAAGTGACGTTTTTAATCTGCTGTAGCATCTGTTGGGCACTAGTCCACTTATCCTTTAATCTATCCATCCCACCAGCCCTCAGGTTATTGTAGTCACCATAGCTGGAAGTTTATAGCATCCTTTGCCACCTCATTTCCCTGAATGGGCTAAGTTCAGAGCCTACATTGGTTTTCCTCTGTTACCTGGCTGAAGAATCCATGTGACCCATAGGCCATAGCATCTTACTGCCAGGAGTCTGAGGTTCACCAAACCAGATGAACAGATCCCTAGATAGCTCCTGCACAGGGAAACTTAGAGAGTTCTGCTCATACAAACTGGCTGGTTGAGTGACTTCTTAAGGACTTTGGGTCCTTTTCCATTTGTGTGTTAATAAATATCCTTCTAAAAAGGGGTTGAGGCAGCTACCTTGGGCACTGTCCTCCAGTAAAAGATCAACACCATCTGTGGCAGGGTGGAGGCATGAACCAGCCTTGAGCAGGTCCTGCCCTGGTGCTCCTTGGAAGATTGGTGTCCCTCCCTCGCCATCACAGGTATACCTGGAACTGCTGGTGGGCAGGTCATTGGGATACCCTGTGGCTGCATGTAGCAGTCTTTGGCACTCTGTAGAAATGTGTGGTTAAAGATTAAAGGTAAACCATGTGGAATGCTGAGGATTTCAGCCAGCTCATAAAAGTCAAGAGCAACTTTATGTTCATGGGAATGAAGCATCTCCATGCCAGATACATACTTCTGAGCATAAGCAAAGTGTTTATTAAGCTGTCCATCTAAAAATATGCAGAATTAAAATATGCAGAATTAGTCCAAGATAATTTTGAAGATGTCTTTTGGCTTAGTACTACATGGTTGTGTCTGCTCTTAGATCAAAATGTTCCTACAGTATTGCTGCAGGACGTGTGTGAAGGATTCTACTAGTTAGCTATTTTCCTGGCCATTTTAGGTATTTGACTTGCTGTTGATTACCCTGTCAGTACACAGACAGACAGACAGACAGACAGACAGACAGACACACACACACACACACACACACACACACACAATCCTACTAACTCTGAAATAGAGTGTTTTCCTCCCAGGTGCTCCGTGGGGGTGGTACGTGGTACTCAAGGTGCCTCAGGATAGTCACAAACCCCATAGACTCAAAGGTCAAGTTCCAGACTCTTAACCTAGGGTTTTTTTTTTTTTCTGCTAAGGATCAGATCCAGGGCCTTGATTATGACTGGCAAGTGCCATGCCCCTGAGCTACACTACACCACTGGCCTACTAGCCCTTTAAAGAAACTCAGTGCAGCCAGGCATAGTGGTGCACAACCGTAATCCCCAACCAGGAGATGGAAAGCAGGAAGATTTCAAATATGAGGCCAGACTGTGTTACCTAGCAAGACTCTGTCTCAAAACAAAACAAAACAACACCAAACAAAAAACAAGAGTTGAAGATGTAGCTCAGTGGTAGAGCAGTGAGCCTGGAATTTGATCCTCAGCACTATAAAAAAAAACAAAACAAAACCTTGTGGCATTGTGGTTGTCACCTGCTGAGATGATGGTGACATGGTTTCCAGATTTCAAGAAGTTCATGGGTGACCTGGACATCTGAATGTGAACAGTTCCTGGGAGAGTCTCAGGTGACCTGGAGAGAGAATATCCTTGACTGATTCTCATCCCTTGGCTGTGACCTTAAGCAGAGAGGGTTGGCATCTGCAGACTAATCTTGGGGTAGGTGCCAGTGGCCTTTGCCCTTGGAGGAGTTTTCTGCCTGTTTTTCCTCTGTTCCTCACTGGTTCAGAACTTCTTGAATCAGTGAGGCCCAGCAAAGCTGTGTGGTCTCCCAGGGCACTGCTTCCCTCTCTGCAAAGTGGGGTGTCATTATAATCCAAATGACTTTAAAGGGTCGGCCCAGAAGCTGAGTGGATGCATCAAACTGCAAATATACATCAAGCATAGCCAGTGATGGTTATAATCTACAGCTATCTAGTGAGTATTGTTCTAAGCACTGTAACTGAATTATTTTATTTAATAAGGATCATGATTTGATTAGATAATAATAATGCTATGATTTCCAACATTTTACTATGAAAAACTTGAAATAGTACAGCCATCTATCTACCCATGACCTAGATTTTACAGTATTTTATTTGTGGCATGATACCTCCATCTATCCCTTGTCTATCCATCCTATTTTGGGGTGCATTTCAAAGTTGCAGATATCAGCACTGTACTGGCTACTTTTCTCATCACCACCACCAAATACCCAACAAGAGGCAAATGAGGGGAAGAGGGGTTTATTTTGGCTCAGTTTGAGAGGATATAGTCCATCATGGTGGGAATGATGTGGTGGTGGGTGAGAATGTGAGACAGCTGGTTACATTGTATGGATAGTCAAGAGGCATAGAGAGAGCTCAGGAAGGAAGAGGGGCCAGCCATAACCCCTAGGCCTGCTGCAGACTGACCCACTTCCTCCAGCTAGGCTCCACCTCTTACAGTTTCCAAGTCTTCTCAAATGCTACCATTCATTGGGGACCAAGTGTTCAAGCACTGTGGGGGACAAACCACACTCAAACATGTCAAGTACTCTTCTCCCAAGCCCTTTAGCATGCTTAGGATTAACTAGAGACTAGAAAGTACATGTTTATTTTTCTCTTTTCGTGTGAAATTTACCTGCAATGGAATGTTCAAATGCACATTTGTTGGATTTTGCTCAATGCATACTCTGTGTGATGAAAACTTGTACTTTAAGATACAGTAGAACTTGGGACTGGAGAGATGGCTCAGCGGTAAAGAGCACTGGCTGTTATTGCAGAGTACCTGGGTTCAGTTCCTAGCACCCACATGACGGCTAAGAACCATCTGTAACTCCAGTTCAGGGGATCTGGCACCCTCTTTTGACCTCCTTGGGTGCTGCATGTCAAGTTTGCCCTTATATACATGTTAACAATACACTCATGCATATAAAATAAAAATAATAAATAAAATATTTTAAATGAAGATACAGTAGAACTGTCATTATCCCAGAAAGTT